TTCAGCAGGGTGTTGTATCTTTCTCCCAGGCAACATTTTCCAACTCCTCCCTGGAAAACCCGGTGCATTTTTTTTTTCTCATTAAGAATCGATCATTATGCGTCTGTTGAAGTGAAAAACCCACAGACAATGATCCAAATGTGAGGTACATTTCAAGTGTTTTATCACTTTCCAGCTTTTTGTTTTGGTTTTTCAGCCGACAGCTTTACCGTTTTGCTACACACTCACTGTTTTCATCAGCATCACCAGATACAGTAGGCTGCTTTTTCAGTGACAGAGCTCCAAAAACCCACTATTCACTCCCTTGAGCAAACAGAGAAGCAACTGAAAACAATGGAGCATTTAGAGCTAGCAGACATTTCTAGCAAGCTAAAAGTAGAGTAATCGTTGGACATTCATCAGGGGGATCACGACTCCAAATGAATGTTGCTTTGTTCTGCTAAATGTGTTGCAATATAAATATTAAATGTGATAGTATGTATGTACTGTTTCTACAGTTTGCTTTTGCTTCCAGAGTGGCCAGAGTAAAATTGGAAATGTAGTAATATATTTTAAACACTCTAGCAATATCACCTGCAATGAGGACTGCAGTTACCTCAACCAGGATTTCATTCATCTTAATACGTAAGCCATTTATAAACAACATGATTGTAATACTTGTATTCTTATGTATACTTAATCAGGTAGCCATTTATTAATAGGTTAATAAATAATACATGGCTATTCCTATGAGTATATTACTTTAATACATATACATAACTAGTATGCATACACACAAGCATATGTGGCTTATCAAGTAAGCACAACAAGGCATCAACTGATGTTTAAATCTTTTGCTTTATTATAGAGTATATCAAAACAATTTAATACACAGCAAAACTGTGCTGAGGGCAGGTAGTGGCATCCAATTGAACAAATGAGTTCAAAGGGGAAAGTTTGGGGTTCTAAGAAAGTTCAGAAGGGTGGCACAACTTCTCATTTCATTACTATTGATGTTATTTTTTTCCTTATGACTTTTAACTGGTGGGGTGGAGCTTCATTTTGCATTGTCCCAAGTTTCAGATAATAAAGGACTCACAGTATGAGCATGGGTGTTTAACTGAAGAACAACAGCAGTACTTATGGAACCAATCAAATATATTCTGGACACAAGGCTGGAGACTGCCAGCAAAAGAAAGAACAGTG